TGCTCCTCTTTGGCACTAAAGTTTCTGGTTCAGGGTCCGGTTGTGTTGAGCCCGAGGCCATTTTACAGCAGGTCAAGTAACAAGTTATGGTACAGCTCGTGTGACAAGATGCTGCGCCATCTGCAGATTGCGCTCGCGTGTCACGTGACCAGACTATAATTGCACCTATTGCGATTAGAAAATCGTGTTTTACGTGAAGGCGATTTAATCGCAAATGCAATTAATCGTTCCCTACTACTCCCCACTGTTGCTAAGTGCTTGCTCAAGGGGGATTTGTTGGGTTTTCCCTCTGTGATAATAATGAAAACAGTAAGGTCTAGACCTTTGTAAAGTGTCCTGAGATTACTTTTGTTAAGCTTTGCAGCTTCATCAGCGTTGAACTCGGGAAGAATTTGACGGAGGCAATAATATCTTTTAGCTCTCTTAGCATATTTTATTGGGACAAAGAATAACACGCGTCTACACTCTTCAAGTGTGACGACCCCAACCGAACTCAGACCTTCCCGCTAAAAACAAAATGGGTGCGCTCACAAAAACTACGCCCCACAGTGGTGGAAACAGCATGACTACACATTACAACTGAGTACACATAAAAGAATGTCTCTCAACAACTTTTGTTGTGATTTGGCATTATACAAATAAAACTGAATTGAAAATTGAATTAACATAGTGCATGCAGCAGCAGTCCTGATCTGAGCACCGCTGGCTTCATGGGCACCTTTATCAGCAGCTGACAATCAGCAACAGCACAGACACCTCGAGAAGCTGCTCACAGCCGGTTCAGTTGGTGATCTCTGCTGCCGCCTGATGCTGCAAGTCGAGACTAGTTCACAGGGCTGAATTTGGCCGTAAGCTCGCACAGTCACGCAGCGTGTGTCATCAGAAATGTCAGACGTCCTACCGGTGGAGGAGCAGTGTGGGAGCGAAATCTGAATCTATTGGTATTATCTCATGACACGTTTTCACTCTAACCCGACTGTGAAGTGTCTGGTTCTGCAGTGTGTGCATTTCTATTTGTGTACTTCACTGCTCTGTACAGTAAACCTGTTAAAACTGACTTTGACCTCAGATGAATTGTGAGCTGTGTGAATGCTGTTACACCCTGAACAACAACTGTGGCTCAAGCGTTGTTGATGTGGGGCTGAAGCGCATGATTGTGCTTGTATGAAAAATGCAAAAATAACAAACATGGCTCAGCTATTCAGTGGTGACTAGTTCTGTGTAGTGGCAAAGTGGCGAAACACAGAGCCTCAACTGAGCCAGACAGTTGTTTGTCTTTGCACAAGGTTCCTTAAAAACATGTAGATATACAGCCTACACTGTATGAAGCTTTCCCTGTGTGTGTTTTCATCCTACTCAGTTCTACACCTCTGGTTTCTCTGTGCTTTTCGGTGACCTGCTACACTCCTCCATTTTCTTGCAAAAGGGTTGTTGTTAATCACGTGTAAGTCATCGTTTTCTGGACCTTTCCCTTTGTCAGGCTTTATTCAACATGTACAATCTAATGTTCCTTCATTCACAGTGTTTGAGAATGATCCCCTGGCAACAAGTGCAGAAAATGTGCTTCAGATCAACAGCATCTGCTCCATTTTTAGCAACATCAGCTCACTCCTCGGCTCCACTGACATCACTTTTGGTTCCACCATTGTATTCTGCAGCAAACAGCAGCAGCTCCGTGCATTACACCAGGCTCACTGCAGCAAATGAACAGATGCATTTATTGTGAACCTGTGAAGGCCAATGCAGTCGACAGGTTGGATCTGATCGGTGCAGCTGCAGTAACACAAACCTCAGGTTTTGAAAAGGATTCTTTAAATCATTGTGTTTAGGAACCGTGACCAAGGTATTCACTAACTTAGATATCTGTGATGGTACTGGCCATGTTGAAGTATTAGTCAGGCCCAGTCAGTAGTAGCAGTAAACGCTGTGTATGTCTCATGATGTCAGGCCCGAAACTTGTCACCTCACATGACATCATGTTTAGACACTTTCAGATGCAGCCTGACAGATGTGTGTCTGAGATCGATGTGCCCTTAATGCAGCTCTCTGTTAGTTTGGGTGTGTGCTTTGCATTTCTGTAGCTGTGTGGACCCATTGTATTTCATCATTGTGGGGACATGAGAACACCTTCAAAGAGTTTCTCCTGAGAACCATGTTTAGGTGAGGGCTGGGTAAAGATAGCTGGAACAGTGTGTATGGGGGAGGGGGGGTCTGATATGTTGCAGCGGGATGGTTTTCTTTAAGGCTACCACACTACCATTTCTGGTGTTATTTTAGAGGTTAGGGAGACATGATGGTGTTGGCAGGGGGTCTCACACACACACACACACACAGTGCCAGTAACAGCAGTGTGTTTGCAGCCAGCAGTTGCGTCAGATTGCTCTTGTTTGCGCGCAGGATGAAAGCACGACTGACTGGCCCTTTGTTTCTCAACCACATGGTTTTAAATAGCACTTCCTGTGACCGTGTGACTCATGATGCAACGCTGCCTGCGCTGCTGACGCTCAGATGCAGCCATGATTGAACGTCCATGTGTTGCTGCTGCAGTGTGTACAGTCAGGTCTGTGTGTAGCTCCGTTAAACTACTGGTTACAGTAGAAAGACACATTCATTTTTATTAGTTCTGAAGCTGCACACTCAGTTAATTTGCACCAGAGCTATTTAATAATTGACTGCAATTTCTCAAAGAGGAGGATGTTTTAGTTTTGTATCACTCAGTATTTCTGGGTTTTGGAGTGTTAGTCAAACATCTCTGTCTCATGTTCTGATACTTTGAGGTCAAACAATTAATATAAATGTAATCATCACATACATTTATATGTGCATTGATTGTTGGGCTGATCTCCTCACATAGAACAGATGTTTGATAGAAGCTGATGTAATTTCAGTGTCAGGTTCATCTGTGTTTGGCTTAGTGTAACACAAACAGTGAAAGCGGGGGAAACAACCAGCCGTTGAATTTCTGTGTGTCAGCTCATGTTTGTTGACCAGTTTCATCTCCACCAGGGACCAGCTCATAAAAAACTGTTACCAGGACTTTAAACATTTAGGTAAGGATTTAAAGAATGAATGAATGTCACTTTCAGCATGTTGACATTTGGCACGTGATTTACGCTGAATGCCCTTCCTGACGCAACCGTGACTTGAACATGGGCTAACCACTAGTCTATCAGGGAACCACAGTCATTGCAGGGGTCCCCAACCCCCGGTCCACCGGACCAGTACCTGTCCGTGGATCATTTGGTACCGGGCCACAAAGAAAAAATTTCGTGGTTAAAATTATAGTTATTTTTCTTTAATTAGTCTTAGTTTGAAAAACGGCTGTTTCCGTCCTTGCCTCACTACCGCACTTGACTCTGGCACGCCATTTTACGCATCAGCAACACAAGCTAACCCTTTAAAAAAAATTAGCCAAAAGCAAAATTCACTGGAGAGCTTTTTCGGGAAGGAACGAGCAAATGATGGGACAGCAGAAGGGTCACAGACTGCCAGCAAAAAGAAAGCTGCATTTAAAAGAAAATACCATGATTCCTACCTAAGTTACAGGTTAATCGTAACAGGTGATACACAAGCTCCACACCCGCTATGCATAATTTGCGGTGACCGACTAGATAATGAAGCCATAAAACCCTCAAAAATGCTTCCCACATTGAGACAAAACACCCTGCATTAAAAGACAAGCCCTTGGAATTTTTTTCTAGTTGCAGGGAAACAAGCCCAGTGCTCCCACTGATTCTGCATTATGGTGAGTTGATATTATAGTGTAGAATTATTGTAATTGCCTAATATAAGGTGTAACTGTTGCATTCGGATTACATACTATGAACTGACAAAGGTTTTTGTTATTGGAACCCCCGCACCTCTACCCGGTCCACAGAATAGTTTTCATGCATGAAACCGGTCCCTGGTACAAAAAAGGTTGGGGACTGCTAATTTAAAGAACCTGGAGAATAAACATACATGGTGTCGAGAGAAGTTTCTTGAAGAGCGAGGAGACGTCCGTCTGATGCACAGTGTGCTTTTCGCTTATATTGGCCCTTGCTCAATTTTAATTAGACAGTGTGAAGGCAAAAACACATCACTGGCAACTTGTCTATGATTGTTGCCACCAGAGGAAGTGAACTCTCATTCTTTTTTTTTTTACCCTGCTAACAAAACAAAATCTGTTTTCAAGAGTCTGAGTTCAGCCTCGATGCAACAATGTGGAGTGACTGGCCCTGACACTTCATGGCCTTATTTGGCTGCAGCTGTTGTTGTTGCTGAGCTGCAGCAGGATATGACATCACCACCTCTGGCTTGGAGCACCTGACCCCTGCCCCTCCCTCCAAACAGCCCCACCACAGATGGACCTCAGGAAAGTTTCTCTGCTGCTGTTCCACCTGCATGATTTAGATGTCACTTTATTCACTTATTTCCTGCACCCTGGTTGGTTTATTAGGAACAATTGTCTCAAACTGAGTCAGTCTAACCCAGCAGTGCTGCAGTAAGTCCTCCTCCGTGAAGGCAATGATGTTCAGGCTGTTTCACAGAGGTGCTGATTCTCACCTGTGTGGTTACTGTGGAGGCTGGAGGTTGTGCTGCTGTTCACCTGTACTGTGCTGTACTGACAGGTGTTTCTGTTGTTATGTCCACCTCATTTATACCAGTGATTATAGGGTTGATGTACTATGGGTAAAATATAAGTAGATTACACTGTGGTCCGGCAGAGGGCATTTCTTTAAATTAATTATCAGCCTGTTGCTGCTCTGATCTAAAAATGGCTGAGGATGCTGTGCAGAGCAGACAGTCATGTAAGAAACTGTGGCATTTTGTCTCTTCACCATAGATATTGTACAACCACCACAACAAATCTGAGGCCTCACCCCACACTACATGGGTTGTGAAGTACTTTTGAACTGGTAGAAGTGTTTTTTATGTTTATTCACTTTGCTTTAAAACTAGTTTTGTTCAAGTAGTCCTGTTTCCTTTTGTAACAGAAGTTATTGGCCTTGTGACTGCAGATCTGTCAAAGAACCGACTGGCCGACATGCCTTCAGACATCTGCCACCTGGTCGCCCTGGAGACACTAAACCTGTATCACAACTGCCTCAGGACCATCCCAGACAGCATCATCGGCCTGCAGTCGCTCACCTCCTTAAACCTCAGGTACACACACGCACACACATTAGTTTCATCCACCCTGTCTCGACTGTACCAGAGAGAAGCTGTGAGCTTAAGGACACTTTCATTCTGGGTATGATGCAGCTGTTACTGGTCAGTACAGCCTGTTCCTTGTGTCTGAAGCAGTACTTTCCAAACTGATGCAGATATTGCATGCAGGAGTTCATCTTTCAGCCCTTTAGAGAGGAGCTGCAGAACTGAGGCAGATCTTTGAACTAGACGCGCTCAGCTTCATCGTGTTCACGGTCACACATCTGGAAACCTCTCAGAGAAAGCTTTGAAAACTTAAATAAGTCTAGTGTAATTGTATTCCCTAGTTTTCCAAACACACATGCATATTATGAGGGTCAGACTGCTTTTAGGTGAAATGATGGGAAATCTGAACTGTCCTGGCGGAGGTTGGCGTGCTCTGAGTGCTGCGGTCTAGTTTTATAGTGAATCAGATCTCTTCCTCTCTGCTGCTTTGCTTCACACCTGCAGGCTCCTCATAATGAATCAGATACCTGTAGATACACATTGACAGCAGCACTTCATAGTATGAATAAACACACTGTCACCCTGCACATGCACACACAAACCCTCTTCCTTCCTCTTCATGAATAATGCAGCTTTATTTTAAGTATCCTTAAAGTCCAGTGACTCACTGTCACATGTGAAACAGGATGTTCAGGATGTTCCTTTTGATTTAGTTGTGTCAAAGCTGTGCACGCTTTGCTCTGCATGTCTTTACAGCACCAGTAGGCTGTCATTAGGGTCAGAGAGCGCTGTCCAAGTACAGACAATCAAAATCCTGACTCCTGTCAGTTGACATAACATGAAACGTATCAGAAAATGAACTGTACTACGTAAATATACACTATGCATGCCAGCATACAAAGCTAATAACATTTCTTTTAAACATCAACATGTCGGCACCATCAGTGTGCAGATGTTAACATGGCGTTGTTGTCCTGTAGCCTGCCTGCAGCCTACCACAGCTACAGACTGTTTGGCTTTACTGTCTCCCTGAAAGTGACAAATAATACTCAAAGAGGTTGTGTTGCTGTTTTAATATACTTCATCTCACCACTGTGGTGTTTACATACTTTACAACTGTGAGATTTCATCGATTCCACTGTGGCTACTCGCAGCACACACACAGTTCCCACAGATGGTTACAGATCTTGTTGAGTCCCTGAAGCTTTGCCAACTTTGAGGAGCCAACGCTTAGTGCAACAATGCTTTTTCCATTGTCTGTGTGTGTGTGTGTGTGTGTGTGTGTGTGTGTGTGTGTGTAATAGAGAGAAAAAGAGAGAGAGAACAGCTGGATACACTCACTGATACGTTTCCTGAATGTTATTTTCAGAGCTGAGTCACAGGGCCCTTCACAGTCTGTGCAGTGCTGTGTGGATGGAGTGTGTTCTTGTGTAGTATGTGTGCTTGTGTGTCTGCTTATGAAAGATGTTGTTTTGCTTTCCTTCCTTTATTTGTAGTAAGTGATTTAGATGTGTGGTGGACATTAAAGTGATTTTTCACCCCAGACGAAGTGCTCTGGCTGGATGAACTGATATGAACTTGAAGTGAATGAAGTGGAAATCACACGACAACACAGAGTCTGGTAAACGACAACAGAGAAGCCTAATGTGAGCCGGGACACATTAAACAATTTGATGTATCAGACATTGTACAACCTTCTCTTCCACTGCTGCTTATGGCCGCCTCCATAGTGCAGTGTCATTAGGTGCAATTTAAAGTTCAGACTTTACTCAAAGCAGAAGTGTGTGAGTCGTAGAGAAAATATTGGGCAGGAGGCGTTTATATGTCATTGAGATGATGAGTCAATAGGAAAGAGGCTATCATTAGATTCTCCCACTGCATGCAGATGTCTAACCTGAAAGGAAAGGAAAGTCACTTTCGGTTTTTCCCGTTTTAGGGGCCGCCACAGAGAATCGTCACACTGACGACTCGCATGTTGACATTTGGCACATGTTTTACGGCAGATGCCCTTCCTGACGCAACCTGGACTCAAACCCGGGGCGCTGCAGCGAGAGCACTGCGCCTTAACCACTAGCCTACCAGGGGTGGCTGCATGCAGACGACTGACTTAACACAGATAAAATACAGAGCTGATAGTTAATAATTCCTGCAGCCTTAACACATTTTTGCTTAAAGAAGAAATTTTTTATGTTCTACTGAGGGGTTAAACTAATCAGAGGCTGCTATACACTGTTCATGTGTGCGACTGTGGTTCAGTGGGTAGAGTGGTCGTCTCCCCACTAGAGGATCTGAGGTTTGAATCTCACTGCCTGCAGTCCACATGTTGAAGTGTCCTTGGACAACACACTGAACCCCCAAGTTGCCCACGATGGTTAGAACCATCTGTTGAGTTGGCGCTGCAGATGGCTGCCTCGGTTCTGTGCCGGAAAAAGATTCCTTGTGTGTAACATACTTGGCCAATAAATGTGATTATTGTTTATTATTAAGTTGATTGTTACCTGATTACAGTACCTGGCCTGTTAGCATAGTTTAGCTAACTTTATATAGCAATTTAGTGCTAAGCTGAGTGTACAATACATTTGCATCATGCAGTCCACCAGCTAGCCTGCTAGTTAGATAGCTGATTCTGTCACTGGTGCACAGGTGGCATTTTACTGTTTTTATACATCAGGTGAAGCTGACATTAAACCCAACTTTGTGTCTGAACATTTAGCCAGTAGCTGAAACCACACACAGGCTCCAGCAGACTCCTCCTGTGAGACACACACACACACACACACACACACACACACACACATGCAGTGGAGCAGCAGAGCTGTTGTTGTAGTTTCAGTGTGAATGTGCGTCTCGGCTCCATCACAAAGAGGATCAGAAGATTTAGAGACAGCGCAGCTGTGTGAGGCAAGGGAACAACTGATTGTGTTGTTTCTGTAAACACAAACCTGCTGGTGCATGATATGTTAATTGCATCTAGTGCCGAAAATATTTGATTAGTTCATCGACAGAAAATTAACTGCCATTTATTTTAACTGATTAATCAGTAAAGTCTTGTGTTAAGCACAAATTCTGAGACTGCAGGAACAAGCTTCTTAGTTGCCACAGTCTGAGGCTTTTATTTGTTTGATCTGCTACTAAACTCAGTATCTTTGGATCTTTGTGCTGCTCATTGGACAGAAGAAGCAAATGAAAGATTAAAAAGGTTTGGGAAAACGCTAATAGACAGTTTTTGCTTTTTCCTGACATTTTATGGAGCGACTGATTATTAGAGAAGATAATCTGTAGAACATTCTGTTAATAAAATAATAGTTGGAGATCTAATTGAAAATGTATGTGTCTGATATCTTTACGCTCACACACAGGAAAAGGAAAGTGTTGATGTATATACTTTTTTCTCACGGGCCTTTCTGGCCTCTGTACGGTACAGAACTAACAGCAGTAAACACTCCAGTGTGAAATCACATTATAGAACATGTTGATTCTTTCATACATTAACTGTTTATGTCTCCTTTAAGTTTTAATGCTGCGTTTGAAGATTAGGTGTTAAATTATTCATATGGTCTTTAGATTGTATCTCTGCTCTCATTCATTTACCCCTAACGTCCTTGAAACTCTCAGTAGAAATGATCATACCTTAATAGAATTTGTCTTGATAAATTGTTTGTTTCTTTAAAAGGTGTAATACACATTTATCGAACTGACAGTTTAAAGCACATGCGTCAAACTCAAGGCCCGCAGGCCACATCCGGCCCACTCATTTTATATATCTTTTTTTTAATGGCCCAGCGATATGAAGCACCGATAACACACAAACTACAAATCCCACAATGCAGTGCAACAGCTGCCTTACCGAACGTACACTACCTGCGATCGTTCCCGCGTCAGTTACGTCAGATCAATCAAGCGTCTGGTGATATATACAACCCTAATTTCAAGTCAAAGCTAGCCCCTAACAGTGGCCAAGAGAAAAGTTGATTCTTAAAACAGAGCCTTTGAAAACTGGTGGGAGGCTGAGTATATGTTTACTGACATTGCTGGTAAACTTGTGTGTCTTATTTGTGGAGCTAATGTGGCTGTAATTAAGGAATATAACCTAAGACAGCACTACGAGACAAAACATCAGGACAAAAAAAACGTGAATGCAGAGCAGAAGGTAGAGGAGTTGAAGAGGAATCTGACATCACAGCAGACATTTTCACCAAAGCGAAATCACACAGTGAAGCTGCTGTGAAAGCAAGTTTTATTGCAGCAGAGATAGCCAAATCAGCCCCGCCATTTACCGAGGGAGAGTTTCTGAAGAGCTGCATGATGAAAGTGTGCGACGTCTTGTGTCCAGACAAAAAGCAGGTGTTTGCAAAGCCTTAGCAGAAATACGATTGCTCATTTTAAGTTCAAGTTTATTTATTTTGGAACAATATTGTATTCTGTCTGTTTCGATTCATATTTATGTTTAAAAAATGTTTAGTTTTAGTCTGTTCAACAAATTTTATCCTGTTCGCCCCGAGACCTAAAGTGTGCTTTGAGTTTTGGCCCCCTGTGTGATTGAGTTTGACACCCCTGGTTTAAAGGCACCTTTATAACCTGTAATTCCAACTTCCTGGTAAAAAATGACTTTCTGTTTTCAGTTGTTCTTGCTTCATGTAAAACACTTGAACCTTTCTGCTTTCTGTCTTATAAAGTGTCATGATCATAATGTATGCGTTGATTTGTCCACATGACGGAGTGAGTGATGTTTGTGTTGCAGAAAAAAAATCTTCCGGCCTGTCTGTGTGGTCTGCCTCTGAGAGTCCTCAATGCCAGCAAAAACAAGCTGGTGAGCCTGCCCGAGACCGTCGGACAGCTGCACGGCCTCATGGAGCTGGTGAGACGCTGCTCGACCTTGCTGGAAGGCAAACAGTCCACCAGCAGTGTGTCGTCAGGAAGGAGAGCTGCTGTTGGCTCTTATGCAACACAAAAGCTTTCAAGAAACAAATAAAACCCTTTGTTCACTAGAATCATGTTGCTTTGTGCTGTAATGTGACAAAATGCACCCGGAAGCTTTGACAGCTGTGAACATGAGTCGTGTTGTTGTTCTGTGCTCTGCAGGACATAAGCTGCAACGAGATCACGGCTCTGCCTCGTCACATCGGCAGACTCAAAGCTCTGCGAGAACTGAACGTTCGCCGGAACCTTCTCTGCGTCCTGCCAGAAGGTGAGCTGTTGACAGAAGTGCGTCTCTCTAGAAGTTAGACGGATCCTTTGTGTCTGATACAACCTCAGTCATCTTCAGGCAGTTCTTACTGTGTCCTAACAGTGAGCGAGCTTTGGTTTACTCTGAGGGTAACATTAGAGCAAACTGTCACTGATGTTGACTTCAGGCAGAAAATAGATCGGTGTGTATCTTACAGAAGGGGGTTGTGCAGTTTTATTCACTGTTGACTTCTGAAACAAAACAGTCCCTTCTATGTACAAGATGTGGAGCTGCATGTGAGACCACAGAGTCCACACCCATGCCACTCTCCAAAACTATAGTTAACCCTCAGTGTGGCCAGAGAGCAGCCACTGGTCCCCACAGGTCTGAAATAAGTTGGTGACGAAGCTCAGTGACAACCGCAGACCTGTGGAGCTCATCTGGACAGACCCACCCAGTCTGACTGTGTGTCGGCTGAGAGGCCGACTTCTAGAGCGCCCTGAGGGCATTTCTTCAAATTGGCACGACTGGCCACCTTCCATCTTTGGTGATCAAGGGTCAAAGGTCACAGTGACGTCGTGTCTGTCCCGTTCCTGTGAATTTGACTGGTTGGTTGGAGACACACAACTGCAAAGGCTGTGACTGTTTTCATTATTGATTAGCCTGCAGATTATTTGCTGTTATGTTTATAAAATATCTTAAAATAGAGAAAAAGGTCCAAAGTTTCCCAGAGCCCACGGTGAACTCGTTGGGTGTCTGGTTTTGTCCAACCCACAGTCCAGAATCCAGAGACTGAGAAGAGAAAACAATCAGACCTTCGCAGCAGAGAAGAGAAATGTGGTGTGTTTTATTTCTCATCTTTAATGAGATCTTATGTTTTGATATATGGGATGTTTGTAAATTAAACATGTTGGCCAAATCATTTTCTGAAGCACCTTTTTATGGTTAAGACTTGGTTTTAGGGTTCAAATCAAATCAAATTTTATTTGTATAGCGCCAAATCACAACAAAAGTCATCTCAGGACACTTTACAAAGGTCTAGACCTTACTGTTATCAATATTATTACATAGGGAAAACCCAACAAATCCCCCTTGAGCAAGCATTTGGCGACAGTGGGGAGGAAAAACTCCCTTTAACAGAAGAAACCTCTGACAGACACCGGCTCTTGGTGGGCGGCCTTCTGCCTCGACCGGTTGGGGTGAGTGGATAGAGGAGAGACAAAAGAAGAAAAGCAACAAGACACAACAA